GAAGCAAGTTCTGAAGTCTCTCAGGAAAAGGTCTCTCCCTCACTTTGCTTCTTGATTTGCCCCTCTGTGTGCGAGTCTGTGTTTGCGCGCGCGCAGGGCACGTCTCCCCGCGCCTTGAAAAGGCAGCCCACGAGGAATTTTCAAAGGCATTGGGCCTCGCTGCACGGCACCCGACTCGAAGCGAAAAGAATCGATTTTGTGAGAGGGTCGTTCTAGAGTTGTACCAGGCGGCGCCCTTCCTGTCAGGGCATACTCGCACAAACACTTTTCTTTCCTTATTTCTCGACGGAATTGCGACCAGATGCATACAGGTTCGGCCAGTATGCGGTCAGATACATTTAAGCTAGTGCCAGTGTGAGTACGCCCTGAGACGATTTTTCCTTTTTTGTTTTATTTTTTTTTAATGTGGCCCGATGGACCACGGATCAGATGATCAGAACAGATACCACACTTGATCTTAGGGCCTCGCCACACCAGGGGCCGAGTCCCACTAGCAGCATTGAGCTACCTCAACGCCTGTATCTGGACGCTTTTGCGGGGATGTGCAGAAATGCTGTTGAGTTTCCTGAACTGCACGTCTCCACAAACACATCCAGATTCAGGCGTTGAGGTAGCTCAACGCTGCTAGTGGGACTTGGCCCCACTGTCGAGAACCTTTCTTTTTCACCGACTGTCAGACATTTTTCGCCAAACAATTTTTCACCAGAAACCCCGCCTTCGCCACACAGCACTGTAGAACGGACGCACTTGTGAATGTAAGATAAATCCAGCGGGCCTAGCTCAGTTGGTAAGGCACACAAGTGGCATTCAGGAGGTGGTTCAATCCCCATTGGCCTCATGCACCTTCCTGGGCAAGCTTGGCGCCCGCCACCTAGGGATATGTCGTTGTCCCCCCGAGTGGCATTGAGCAGAGACTGCTGACCTTCATAGGGGGAGGGGACCGGAGGGGAGGCATAGTAACTGGCCCATCGAAGAAGCTCGGTCCTGATGCTACCGGCTGACCCCTGGCCGGTATCGCCCACCTGCTGTAGCAGCAGGTATTGCCCCTGCTGGTGGGTGCAGCTCCGGCATGTTCCCTCGTTGGAGGCTTGAGCACTGACCCCTGGCCGGTATCGCCCACCTGCTGTAGCAGCAGGTATTGCACCTGCTGGTGGGTGCAGCTCCCGCATGTTCCCTCGTTGGAGGCCTGAGCACTGATGTGGCTGCTACTGGGTTCCCCATCATACTATAATGACAATAAAAAAAGGCCTGAAAGGCCATCCTGTCCAGATTTGACAGGTAATTGAATTGGTTGGGTTTAAACCACCAGGCCTGAAAGGCCAGATTTGACAGGTAATTGAATTGGTTGGGCTTAAACCACCCATAGCTGGGCCAAGTATTGGTGGTTTAAAGAATTAGTCTTTCAGGAAAAAAATAATAAAAAATGTAAGATGTAAAAAGACGAACACTGTGCTTAAAGAATTAGTCTTTCAAAAAAAAAAAAAAAAAAAAGTAAGATGTAAAAAGACGAACACCCCTGAGGGTACGACAAGCACTACCTTCTTCCCCCAATTACAACGTACGGTCATTATAGCTGTATGTAGACTGAAAAATGCCCCAAATACAGCTACAATGACTGTACGTTGTATTCGGGGGGAAAAGGTAGTCCATCCCGACCTCACACCCACTCAACAATTTCGAAGAGAAGTCGACGATTCAGCTGAGGACTGTCGAAAACTTCGGAGTAGCAGGTTGGGGGTTCAAGAACTTTCGACAACAGGTGTCGAGAAGCATTCTCTGACAACTTGTGAATTTTATTCCGGTCTCCAATTTCGACACCCTGTGTGGCGAAGAGAAATTATCGAAAATCGTGGTTTCGACACTGGTGTGGCGAGGCCCTTACCTAGCCAAAAGGCCGAAAACTGATCAGAACAGATACCTTTTATTTGTATGTCGTTTCCTCGGCTTCACGAACGAGGGGCGAGGTCCCACTAGCTGTCGGACAGGAGTGTGACGCGCCAGCTTCTGGACCTGCGCCATCTTTCAACCCTCCCCCCCCCCCCCCCCTCCCCTTTTTTTTGGTGATCTTTTGCAACCAGAGTGAAGAGGCCCCTTTTTCTGTTTTCATGAATCGATGCGCATTACTCGTAATCAAAGAGGCCCGCCCCTTGTCATTTGATTGGTTTTTGGAATTCCATCTTTTTGCAATTCGAGAAATACATGGGAATTACGCGCGCCTTAGCGAGCACGCTAGGGATTTGGCTCGACAATTAAGGAATTCTGGAATAAACAAGACCCGACGTGTCCTTTTTGTTCGTAAATGTTCTCGACTTCATCTCGAAAAACTCTGGGAATTCTTATGTGAATCTGAGTAGGCGTAGGACTTTTTCCCGCGTTCACTCTACGCGCGAAGCTGGTGTTTTTCAATTTTGAATTAGCGTAGGATTCTGAATGAGATGTAACTGTTTCGGTGCCCTTTTTGCTTTCGTGTCGGTGCCATGCATGCGAGCTCCTCTCCCCCGCCCCCCGCCCCCCGCCTCTCTATTTCCCTCGCTACGTTCGACACTCTCTTCTTCGCGCTCACGCTCCTTCTCTCTTTGTAACCGTTTTTCCATCTCTGCTTTGCCTCGCGCGTCTTTTCTCTTTCTTGATCGTTTGAATCTTGGTTCAGTGTCACCTATCCTTCGTGCCATTCTTCTTCCCGCGCTAATCCTTGCGTCGGAATACCCTGTCGACTTCCTCCTCCTCCCCTCTAGCCAAAGAGACGCGTCGTGTAAGAAGGAAATTCCTGTTACGCTACGATTCTGATTGGCTACAACTGGGATCCGAAAGATCAACATGGCTTTCGTAGGGCGATTATCCCCGAACCATCCCCTGCCTCTTCCTACCTCAGTCCTAACCCTTCCTAGCATCTACCTCCTTTTCCACAACTATAAATTTCGCAAGCGCTACCGAAAATCTCTCTCTCAACTCATCAGCCAACTTCTTGGAAGCAGTGGCTAGGTGGTACGTGTGAAGGTGCGAGTCGAAAAGTCCTGACGAGCTGACTGTAGTCTTGTCGGCTGTGCGTTGGATCGCCCCACGGACTGTGGGATCCAGGCAAGACCGTGCAGAGACTAAGTCGGTGGGGTGACGATCGCTATGGTGGGAGTAACACGTGTCGGTCGGGATCATCAGCGCCGGTGTGAGATTCAAATCGAAGGTTGAGTGGATATATGGTATGGGGCCATTGTGAAATTTTATGGCGGATGCGCCTCTTTTGTCTCAAAGTATAAGTCTTCGAGCGCAAGTTCTGTTCACTTGGCATTTGAGCCGAAATTTCTCATCAAGATTGTCGGACTTTCTTGTGTAATTATTTTCTGCTTTCTTCCCTCCTCTGATCTACGCCTTTTCCCCCCACACCTTCTTTCTGCTACGTTTCTACTATAATAGGTGAGTTATGCTGATTTATTTCCTATCACTTGATATGTGCATGAAGTGGATTGTGCTTGGGAACCTGTTTCAGCATGACAGGGATGTTGATTGATTGGTCAGATGAACGCGGGATGGGATTGAGTAGTGTGTCGAATTAATCGTGCGCTTTGTTCTTGTTGCCATGTGGACTGACAACCCCAATCCGATTGGGCGCCGACTTCCCATATCCTCGCCGCGCCCCTTCCCGTTGAACGAGGAGAGGACACGTTGTCGAGCGCATCGGCCCTCGCGTGAACGAGGGTCCTCCCGGCTATGTCACGCAGGAGTTAGAACAAAACAAAATCGAGAGACAACTTAGGACGATGCATAAGTGATTCCACGAACCGCCGAGACGGACGCGGTTGCATTGTCCCTTCGCCGCTCTAGCCGGGTGCGCCAGCTGTACATCCCGCGGTCCCCTACGACAGGATAGGTTTTCGCGGGGCACAACTTACTTTCCCTGAGGGGCTGTCACCGCCCTCAGGGGCGTATCCCTACCAAGCTACTGACCCACGTGCGAAAGCTTTTACATGCAATTGCAGAGGTAGGTCAGCCGAGGGCGTTTGCTCGTTCGCTGAAGTATAGGTACGCTTGGTTAACGCAAAGTGGACCCGAACGTTGTCCGTTCCCGAGGGCGCTGATCTCCTCGGTACGAACGAGCGTCGGTCGACTAGGACGGCCTCGACCAAACGTGAAACCCATCATATAATCCTAGTCCCTTTATGATCCCTTGCTCATAAAATAAATAAATTACATTTCGACTCGATGAGATGGCCTGCCAAGGTTATCATTTCYTTCCTACATKACCGACAAGGCAGTTGCACTGCCGTCCAAARACRRRAGATYCGTCGCGCACARCTTTTACAATTGAATACCGCCGGTACCATGCAGATCAAYAAGTGATCTGGCWCCTGGTCGATGTTTGAATTCCCGGTTCGATCATAYTGTCGTACCACATACATCTATTCGGGGGAGCGACTGACAATTYTGTCGGTCGATTCGTCYTCCTAGGCAATAATTACTCTCTCCGTTCCTCGAATGACGAAGTACCCATCCCCAACACCAGATACTTGGCATGRASATRTTTCATCTCCTGATACTTCGC